CATAAAAAAAAACAGAGGGAAAGGTATTATTTCAAAAACCTACTGAAAAATTATACATATAACATGACTATATGAGTCCATGTGTATAATTGAAGACTATGTAGCAAGAAACAATGCCAAACACTAAGTTCCAGGGGACTATGAGCATCTCTCAAAATGTCCTGTAACTGTGGAGAGTCACCTGTGCTCTTGATCAAGGAGGCCATGTAGACCCCATCAAATGGACTTGAACCAGTGTCCAGTCTACAAAGGGGAGAGTCAACTCAGAGGGAATATTTCCTCCATTCTTCCAAGTGCAGCCAGCCATGGTTGAGCAGGACCTTTGACTTATCTTCACATAGATGGAACTGTTAAAAGAAAGGGGCCAGGGGCTCTTCCCACGCTCATGTGACCCCCGAGGAACAGAGCACCAAATGACCTTAAGAGTAAAAATGAATTGGTTTATCTAGGCCAACCGTAAAAACACCCATAAGGAAAGTATAACCAAAGATTAAAGGGGTCAATATAATTTCTTAAGAGTCCATATGCATAGCTAAAGGCTACATAACAAGCAAAAATGCCAGATAGGAGATACCTTCTTTTGAGTTGTTGGCCAGGGTGGCCAAAGGGACTCCCAGATAGTAACCCAGCATAGAACTGGAAATGAACAGCAGACCCCAATCTTATCTAAAGGACTATTGACAACTGATTGCTTCTAGATGAGGAACAGCTGACCTGCCTAAAACTAAGGCCTCTAGATAGGCTGACTAGATCCACCAGAAGGGCAAGTAGTGGGGAATGGATGGGGGTCCTGACAACACAGCAGACAGTAACAGGGATATCAGAGTATAAGGGCTCTATTGGAGGGAGGGAGGCTATGAGAGGGTGCCATTTGGGAAGTGGGTGCATAGTTGAATAAGATGGTTTGGAATGTTCTGTGTGATACACACACACACAAAAAAATCAACAAATTTTAAAAAATGTATTATATTTGAGGAGGAAGCATGGAAATTTATGTCATGCTAATTAGTAGAGGTGATAAACATTACCACTGAAATCTACCCAATGACTTTATAGACATAAACAGGCGCCAAGCATCCAAGTGCGACCAATTATGACTAGTAATAATCATATACATACAGATTAGAGACACATGCGCCAACATCTCAGTGTTAGTAGCAAAAACAATGAGTATTTCTGCAAGGAACAATATATTCTAAAATGAAATGGAGATCTTTTTTAAAGGTTAAAAATGCCAAACCACTAAGGGAAAAGGACAAATAGTCTAAGCACCTGATTAATTAGATAAGAACACTCTACACTGTACTGTATTGCTTTGATTTTGAATTGTATTTCTAAGAAAATGATTAACCATGAAATCAACCTGATGCTTGCACAATCTTGTTCTGTAACTTGTATAAAATCTGATGCTCCACTTTAGAAAATTACATTCAGATCACCAACCATCTCTTGTGTTGTGTCTGTTTGTCACTCGCTGAATCCTTGCCCACTCTCCGATTACCTGTTCCCGTCGGACTGAGTGCTCTGGTCTGGGCTGGTCTGTCGCTGACTGTGACTAGTAATAATCAGATATATAGAGACTAGAAACGCATGTGCAAACATCTTAATGTCAATTGCATTAAAAATGAAGTTTTCTGTATAAGAAAAAAACAAGTACACCTCAACATAATAAATGCCACTATGACAAACCTGCAGCAGACGTCACACTGGACAGGGAAAAGCAAAGAGTGTTTCCTTTAAGACTTGGAATAAGACGAGGGTGATACTTTTATAACTTGTAACCAACAAGACTGGAATCCTAGCTACAGGAATTAGGTAATACAAAAAAATGTCATGCATATTGGAAAATAAATTAAATGATGGCTCATTTTTAGACATGATCTTGTATGTAGAAACTGTACAGATTCCATCCATAAATCTGTTAAAATTTAAACATATTAAGTAAAGATATAGGGTAGAAAACCAAAGTATAAACATCAGGAGCATTTCTATACCTTAACAGTAAACTATTTGAAAAAGAAATTTGAAAAGTCAGTTGCAGTAGTTACTGAAAATTAATTGAGGGGCTGGAGAGATGGCTCAGCTGTTAAGAGCACTGACTGTTTTTGCATAAGACCATGTGGGTTCGAATCCTAGCACCCCAATGGCAGCTAACAGTATTCCATAACTCCAGTTCCAGAGATCCGATGCCTTCTTCTGTCCTCGGAGGACACTGCACTAACATCATGCAGTCATAACACTCACACATAAAATAAAAATAAGCCAAAATTAAGAAAAGAAAATACATTGAATAAAATTAATCAGGGAGGTAAATAATCTTTATATTGAAAAATTTTAATACATTGATAAAAATGAAGACATCTTGTAAAAAAATTTCTTTCATTTTTTAAACTAAATCCCAGAGTAAAAATGGTATGTGATGAAAAAAAATCTTGTTTAAGTTTTAAAGCGTCTGTATTTTATAGCTAAGAAATATATTTTACAGATTATGGTATCACAGGAGAGACGCTCAGCTGTTAAGAGCTCTTGTTGTCAGAGTGAAGTTGTCTGGCTCCATCTTTACTGCTCATTCAGTTCTTTGAAAGCAGTGACCCCTGCAGCGTCTAGTACCCTTTCTAGAGCTAATCTCAGTAAGCAATGATTTTTTAAAATTTATTTATTATTTTTATTTTATGTGTATTTGTGTATTGCTTGCATGTAGGTAAGTGCACCCATGTCGTGCAATGCCCGCAGAAGATAGAAAAGGCTGTCGGGTCCCCTGGAACTGGAGTTACAGACAGTTGTTAGCTGCCATGTGGGTGCTGGGATTCGAACCTTTTCTTCTGCAAGAACAGCCAGTGTTCTTAACCGCTGAGCCATGTCTCCAGCCCCCATGATTTTTTTAAAATTTAAACTGTAGCTGGGGGTCATGATGCATTTCTGTAATCCTAGTACTTGGGAGGTAGAGGCAGGAAGATCAGGAGTTCAAGTTTATTCTTGGCTACATAACAAGTTGGAGGCCAAGTTGGGCTCCATGACACCCTGTCTTAAGCAAACAAAACATTTAAAATTGTGTTTATTTTTGAATAGGCAATAATGTACACAGTAAAAAATGGAAGGGTAGGGCTAGAGAGATGTCTCAGCAGTTAAGAGCCCTGATTGTTCTTGCAGAGGACCTACGTTCAGTTCCCAGCACCTATATGGCAGCTAATAATCATCCATAACTCCAATTCCAGTGAATCCCACACTCTCTTCTGGCCTCTCTGGGTGTTGCCATGACACGGTGCACTTACATACAGACAGGCAATACACTCATACATATAAAATAAAAATTAATAAAAAGATGAAAGGGTATACAGTTAAAAAAATGTTTTCACAGGCGCGGTGGCACATGCCTTTAATCCAGCACTCGGGAGGCAGAGGCAAGCTGATTTCTGTGAGTCCATAGCCAGTCTGGTCTACATAGTGAGTTCCAGGACAGCTGGGGCTACAGGGAGACCCTGTGCCAAAAAATCCAAAAAAAAAAAAGTTTTCTTTGGTCACGCCAACTCCAAGTACCCTTACTTCTCTCTACAGAAACTGCTTTTTTGTGTACCCCTTTGGAAATAATGAACACGTGAACATTATTGATGTACAACATGGTGACATGTCAGCCCAAGCATAGTAGATTTATTAGGATAATGCATTCAAAATGACAATTACTCATACAGAAAATCAATGTTTGGAAAACATTCAGACTTTGGAAAACAAAGTTTGGAGAATATTCAGCATTGTAGTATATTCCCTTCAAAATTTCATACAACACAGGCACTTTCTTAATCTGTCTTTTTTTTTTTTTTTTTTTTTTTTTTTTTTTTTTTTTTTTAAAAAAAAAAAAAAAAAAAAAAAAAGAGGACGATAAATATGTAGACCAGGCTGGCCTCGAACTCACAGAGATCCGCCTGCCTCTGCCTCCTGAGTGCTGGGATTACAGGCATGCCCCACCATGCCCAGCTTAATCTGTCTTTTAAAAAACTGTTTTCCTTGAGTGTGGTGGCACATGACTTTAATCTCAGCACTCAGGAAGTAGAATCAGGGGGATCTCTGTGAGATCCAGACCAGCCTGATCTACATAATGAGTTCCAGGCCAGCTGGGGAAACAGGGAGGCACTGTCTTAAAGAACCAAAGCAAAATTTCATTTTTCTTTTTCTTTTTTTTTTTTTTTTTGAGACAGGGTCTCCCTGTAGCCCCAGCTGTCCTAGAACTCACTATGTAGACCAGGCTGGCCTTGAACTCACAGAGATCTGCCTGCCTCTGTCTCCCGAGTGCTGGGATTAAAGGTGTGGGCCACCACATCTGGCTTCATTTTTCATTTTTATGTGAGTTTTGCCTGCATGTATGTAAGTGTACCACGTGTGTGCTATGCCTCTAGCAGGCCAGAAGAGGGCATCAGATCACCTGGGAGTTATAGACGGCTTTGAATTGCCATGTGGGTGTTGGGAACTGAACCCCAGGTCTTGGGCAAGAGCAGAAAATGCTCTTAACTGCTGAGCCCCACTGTCCTTCCACCCGTCCCTCCCTCCCTCTTTCTCTTTTTCCTTTCTCTTCTTTTTTGAGACAGAGTCTGGCCTTGTACATATTATGTAGACCTGGCTGGCCTCCAACTCCAAGATCTTCCTGCTTCTGCCTTTGTAGTGTTGGGACTAAACACAGGTACCACCACACTGGGCATTTGGTTTTTTCGAACGATATAAATAAAGACAAGATAGTATGAACAAATATACGCATGTAATTAATCTAAGACCATTTTGATTTCATTATTGGAGAAAGAAGTTTATGAAAACAAACCAGTTTATGAACTGAGCAGGGCGGCCCATTCTTGGACTCCCGGCTGGGAGGCTGAGGTGGGAGGATCCCGCGGTCCAGGCCAGTCTGGCTAATAATCACTTTGATCTATATGATCTATATGGGTGGTCCGCGGCCTGGAGCCTCCCGAGCGCTAGATGTCGCTGTGGTGCCGTGGCGGGCGGGCTGCGTCTCTGTGGTTGTAGAGCTGGGGGTGGAGGAGCCGGAGCGGCGGGGACCATGGCTGATGAAGAGGAAGAAGCGCAGCGCGGCTTGCAGAAACTGCAGGTAGGCTGTGCGGTGCTCGGGAAGGAAGACGCGGCGCCCCGAGTGCTGGGCGCACAGTCCCTGCCGCTCGGGAGCAACCGAGTGCACGCCTGCACCCTCCACCCGTGCAGAGCTCCGCGGCGTGCTTTGAACTTGGCCACAGTCCGTAATGGAGCGCCCGGCCCGCAGGACTCCTGTGAATGTGTTTGAATATTGTACCCCGCGTTTGCGGTCACGCCTAGAGGGGCCCGAACTCCACCCACCCCACAGGTGACTGCTGTACTTGGTGTGTCTCTACCTTTGTTTTAATGACCCAAGATTTCAGTTTAATTCTATGCCTGGAATTTAAACGTTAGAACTATGTATATAGGCGTCTGACCAAATTTTTAAAATATTGGTGAGATTTCTTGGTTCCTTGAGCAGGTTAAAATAACACTTTTAGATCCATGGGCGTCATCTCCCTTCAGCTATCTTTGACTTAACTTTATTCCCTATGTGAATGGCGGGAATCATATTCCCACTCCTGTTTAGAAACATTGTGTATGTACGCAGGAAAAGATATAAAAGGTTATACCAAATAGTGGGTTATCCTTGAGGTAAGAATAGTTATGAATTTCTGCTTCCGATTTTCACAGTTTCCTCTAATTTTGACAATTTACTTGTATTGATAATTACCATGACAGAAGAATGTTCAGCCTAGCAAAATCAAACTATTTCTTGCGTGTTTGACAACTGAAAACATACAGTAAGAACTTGTTCTAAATTTGCAGCCATGCTGATTGCAGGATAAAAGAAAATTGGTTGTGACTTTTGCCTAGAACTCTCTCAAAAAAGATGTTTCTCTGCTGGCCATGGTGGTCCTTGCATTTAATCCAGCACTCTGGAGGCAGAGGCAGGCAGATCTCTGTAAGTTCAAGGCCAGCATGGTCTATCTACATAGCTAGTTCCAGGCCAGCAGGGGTTGCAGGGACACCCTGCTCAAAAAGACAAAAAAAAAAAAAAAAAAAAAAAAAAAAAAAAATCTCAAAGTGTGATACAGGGGCTGGAGAGATGGCTCAGTAGTCAAGAGCAGTGATTGCTTTTGCAGAGGACCTGGGTTTGGTTCCCAGCACCCACATGGCAGCTCACAACTGTCTATAAGTGTCAGTTCCAGATCTGACATTCTCTTCTGACCTCTGTGGGCATTGCACACATATATGCAGGCAAAACTTTCATACACATGGAATAAACTGTTTCAAAGACCATTTTGACCATTTTTATTATAGAACTTGTTGAGAATGCAGAATTTATCTGCTTGACTGCTAAAATCAGAGTCTCTCCAGACTGTGTCCTGGA